TTTTTCATCTCTTTAATATTGCGCATAAAATCCAACAACTGGTATCAGAGCTACGTTCAGATGGCGAGTTCTTCGATTGCAAAATTTGATGTGATGAAGTTTGACGGATCTGGGAACTTCGGATTATGGCAGCGAAGGGTGAAGGATTTGTTGGCGCAGCAAGGGATGATGAAGGCACTATCTGGGAAGAAACCAGAGGGTACGTCAGATGCCGATTGGGAAGAGCTCGAGGCGCGAGCAGTTGGTACAATTCGGCTTTGTTTGGCGGACGAAATCATGTATCATGTCATGGACGTTGAGTCTCCGGCGGAGGTTCGGGAGAAATTGAAGAGTCGTTATATGTCAAAGTCTCTCACGAACAAACTGCATCTAAAGCAGCGGCTGTATGGGCTAAAGATGTTGGAGGGTTAGGATCTGATTCAACACACCAATGTGTTCAATCAGATCATCAGCGATCTATTAAGGCTTGAAATCAAGTTTGATGATGAAGACAAGGCAATGATTTTGTTGTGCTCACTGCCTCCTTCGTACGACCATCTGGTGACCACGTTGACGTGGGGTAAAGAGACTCTCGAATTGGAGGAAGTCACATCAGCCCTGTTAGCCTACAACCAGCGAAAACTGCGTACTGGTGAAACTTCACAGGGTGAAGGGTTGATCGTAAAGGGCTACCAGGATCGTGGGAGAAGGAAGGACAGGGGTGTTCCTTTTAGAGGGAACACAAGATCAAAATCTAGAAATCAAAATAAGAAAAACGTGAAGTGCTACAAATGCCATCAGATGGGCCACTGTAAGAGAAACTATCCTAATAAGAAGCAGAATGATGAAAGGAAAGGTGATGGGTCCTCAAACTCAGCTAGTGTTGCAGAAGGAGACTCGGATTCTGGAGATGGAGATATGTTATCAGTCTCTGCAGGTAATTCTGTAAAATTAAATTACTGTTGGATACTTGATTCAGCCTGTTCATATCACGTGTCCTCACCGGGATTGGTTTCATTCATATCGTTCTGGAAATTTTGGATCTGTTCTGATGGGTAATGATGCATCATGTAAGGTCATTGGAATGGGGTCCATAAAATTTAAAATGTTCGATGGTGTGATAAGGACCTTGGAAAATGTTAGGCATGTACCTGAGTTGAAAAAGAATCTATTTTCTTTAGGCACTTTAGACACAAACGGTTACTCTTATAAGTCAGAGTGTGGGCCTCTAACAGTGAAGAAAGGGGCTATGATTGTGATGAAGGGTCAGAAATTAGTAGGGAATATCTACAAACTACTCGGGGATACAGTTGTAGGTGGAGTTGCTACAGCAGAATCAGAGTCAGATGACACTCTTCTATGGCATATGCGACTGGGGCATATAGGAGAACGTGGCATAGTTGAGCTTCACAAGAGAAATTTGTTGAAAGGGGTAAAATCATGCAAGTTGAATTTCTGCAAGTTCTGTGTGCTTGGAAAACAGTCCAGAGTACAGTTCAAGATGGGAAAGCACAAGACAGAGGGAATTCTTGATTATGTGCACTCAGATGTTTGGGGACCAGTGAGGGAGTTGTCTAAAGGTGGATCTCAGTACTTTATTACTTTCATTGATGACTTCTCTAGAAAAGTTTGGGTATATTTCATGAAGCACAAGTCTGAAACCTTTGTCAACTTCAAACTATGGAAAGCAGAAGTAGAGAACCAGATGGACAGAAAAATTAAGTATCTGAGGACAGATAACGGTACAGAGTATACAGATTCACAGTTTCTGAGATTTTGTGAGGAGCATGGTATTCAGCGGCACTATACAGTTCGCAAGACACCGCAACAGAATGGTGTTGCGGAAAGGATGAACAGAACAATTGCAGAACGGGCAAGATGTTTGAGGCTGAATGCAAGGCTCTCGAAGAGTTTTTGGGCAGAGGCAGTGAACATGGCATGTTATGTCATAAATAGATCACCACGAGCAGCACTAGATGGGAAAGTTGCAGAGGAAGTTTGGACAGGTAATGAAGTTGATTATTCTGAATTGAGAGTCTTTGGTTGTCCGGCGTATGTGCATGTATCTAGTGATCAGCGATCCAAACTTGATCCGAAATCAAGAAAATGCATTTTTCTGGGCTATGTTAAAGGTGTAAAGGGATACAAGTTTTGGGATCTAGACGCAAGGAAGATGGTAATAAGTAGGGATGCAGTATTTGATGAAGCATTCATGCTTAAAGCTTCTATAGATAAAGAGAAGCTAAATTTAGACGAGGGCAGAGGTAAGAGCCAAGTGGTGCAAGTAGAGCTAGCCAATATAAACAGAGAAATTAATGCTCAGGGAGCAGATAGTTCTGGGTCAGAGGTGGAGCAGTATCATAGTGTTGCCTTAGATAAACCACCAGCAAAGTATGGATTTGAGGATTCGGTTTCTTATGCACTCATTACCAGTAATAGCGATCCTATAACTTTTCAGGATGCCATTGGTAGTCAGGAGAAAGGTAAATGGATAGAGGCTATGACGGAGGAAATTGACTCACTGCATAAAAATGATACTTGGGATTTGGTGGAGCTTCCAGAGGGGAAGAAACAGTTAGGGTGTAAGTGGGTGTATAAAAAGAAAGAAGCAATGTCAGAAAAGGAAGGAGAAAGATACAATGCTCGATTAGTAACAAAGGGATACTCACAGAGGAAGGGAGTAGATTATGATGAAATTTTCTCTCCAGTCGTTAAACACACTTCCATCAGGATTGTTTTGGCAATGGTAGCTAATTTTGATTTGGAGTTAGAGCAGCTAGATGTGAAGACTGCTTTCCTTCATGGTGATTTGGAGGAACAGATTTTCATGGAGCAGCCAGAAGGGTTTATGGAACCAGGAACAGAGAATCTTGTGTGTCAACTGAAGAAGTCTTCATACGGGCTTAAGCAATCTCCACGGCAATGGTACAAGAAGTTTGACTCTCATATGATTCAGATTAGCTACAGTCGTTGTGAGTATGATTGTTGCGTATACTACAGAGTTCTTGAGGATAACTCATACATTTTCTTGATGTTGTATGTGGACGACATGTTAATTGCTGCCAAGAACATGGATGAGGTAGACAAATTGAAAACTTTGTTGAGCAGTAAGTTTGATATGAAAGATTTGGGACCGGCTAAGAAAATTCTTGGCATGGAGATCAACAGAGATAGGAAAGCCAGAAAATTATGGGTGTCTCAGAAAAACTATTTGAAGAAAGTGTTAGAGAGGTTTAGCATGTCAGATGCAAAATCAGTTGCCACACCACTTGCAAATCACTTCAGATTGTCTAATAATCAGTGCCCAAAGAGTGAAGAAGATGTTGTAGAGATGTCAAAGGTACCTTATACCAGTGCAGTTGGATGTTTGATGTATGCAATGGTGTGTACCAAACCAGATTTAGCACATGTAGTCAGTGTGGTTAGTAAGTATATGGCTAATCCTGGTAGAGAGCATTGGAGAGCTGTAAAGTGGATTTTCAGGTACTTGAAAGGTACAATGGAGTGTGGGATCATGTTTGAGAGACAACATGGTGATATTTCAGTTCAAGGATATGTAGATGCAGATTATGTAGGGGACTTGGATGACAGAAGGTCCCATACAGGTTATGTTTTCACACTCGCAGGTGGACCCATATGTTGGAGGTCAATGGTGCAATCACTTGTGGCATTATCTACAACTGAAGCAGAATACATGGCGGCAACTGAGGCAGCCAAGGAATTATTGTGGTTGAAAGGGCTTGTCAGGGAGCTTGGAATCAAGCAAGATGGAATGAAGCTGTATTGTGATAGTCAGAGTGCCATCTTCCTAGCTAAGAATCAGATTTATCATGCAAGAACCAAACACATTGACGTGAGATTTCATAAGATAAGAGAGTTGGTTACTTCAGGAGAGCTGTTGTTAGAGAAGGTGCATACCTCAGAAAATGCAGCAGACATGATGACAAAGCCAATCACAATGGATAAGTTCAAGCATTGCTTGAACTTGATTAACATCTCTAGCTGTTAGAGAAGATGTGTCCCAACCCATTGGTCCTAGATGGTGTGATTTTTTCCAGGTTATGTTTTTTTTCTCCTAAAGGGTGAATATTCGCCAAGGTAACCCTATTTTTTATAACTGAATAAAGAAATCTCCGCTTCACTCTCGTGGACGTAGGCACATCGCCGAACCACGTAAAATTCTTGTGTTGATTTCCGTTTTTCATCTTTTTAATATTGCGCATAAAATCCAACACATACCAAATGGAAAATAACAAAATTAGCAGAGTTCACAACCAATTCCATTCACCCCACATTTGGAAATCAATGATAGGCTTCCAATTCTTGCATATGCCAGTAAAGTAGAACCTAAAAGGGATAGTTTTTAAGAGGGAATGGCGTGCAGGATTGGTTATTATATTTTGGTAGAAAAATTGATTCTCGAATTGAGAGTCTATAGAAAGATTGAAGAGACCCACTTTCTTCATCTGCAAAGACTGAGCATAACATTCAAATGATATAGGAGTCACTTTAATTATGATTGCAATCCAGAAGTTTTTGAAATAAATTAAAGCCATGGTTGAAGAAATTAAAAAGTAAGTTCCAGTACAATAACTCTCAAATGTAAAAAAGAAAACAGGCATCAGTGAATAATTTATAGAAAGTCAACGTTCAGAGAGAAATGTCATTAGATTTTAACTTGCAAGAATGCATCTCTCCTCATAAGAATCGTGAAGGATTAGTTTCACGATTTTAAGAACTAGCTATACTTCATGTAGTAGTTTATTTTTTCAAAGTTTATGATGATTGGATAGGAAATAATGAAGGCTGTTATTTTTACAAGCCCTAACCTATGCCTCTTGAACACAGAATAGAATACCACAAAGTATAGTGCTCAAACATATTCCATGAGATCATTGTTACCAAGTTAAATTTGTAAAAGCCGAAGCACATAGAATATTAATTATTCTCAATAGCATATTCAGTGCATCAATCTTTTACAATCCCCAACTTCATCAAACAAACTTCTTTAAATGACCTTCTAGAAGGGATGAAAGATGCACACAGTTAACAGTAAATTTCATGTGCATATGTTTAGGATTTCAATATGAACAATTGTTGCATTAGTCCAGACCTCAAGCTTCCCATATCAGAAGATGGTTGAAAGTGAAAATTACAAATTGATGCCATCAATGCAAAAAATACATAAGATCTGCTCATGTTTCCCCACACTCCTTTTATCAAGCTACTTGATCTAAAACTCAGTTTAATGAACTGCTTTCCTTGAGAAACATATTAGTCAACATCTCGCCAGGCATCTATAGACCTCAATATTCATTACCAGCTGCAAATTTTCTTCATTATCCTAAGCTGCTCTCTACCAACTTTAGCGTTAAGAGATTGGCATTTAATTTATCAAACAGTATACACTTTTTTCTTCTAAGTGAGGCAAAGAAATTCATAAGGTTACTGAAAGGAATACAGTCAAGAATCAACCACAAATTAGTTCAGTGGGGAGATTGCATTGCTGCTTATGTACAATGGGAAGAATAATAGATCAGCGAACTCATCTTGATCAATGACAAATTAAAGGCCAGGGGTCATTTGTTTTGAAATATTAAAGCATTTGATTATGTGCTTAGTGATCCAGAATATATATAATTGAACCAACCTCAAATGCTCTTGAAAACCCCTAAACAGAATTGTTTAAAAATTAGAAGTTAAATGAGCACTTGCAAGTTAAAAAAAAAGGGACAATGTACTTCATAAAGACAAGTGAAATCAACAAGTAGTAGCCAGAGCTTTTATTACCGGAAAACCACCACGTCACCGGACGAGAACTTGTATTTCTCTAGGCAAAATTTCTCAACCAATGCATAGTCATCTGAAGCGACCATTAACAATCTAGTAAAAAATCTTTACCACGAGGTAAAAAAATCAGTAAAATATGAAATTACCCATAAAAAATGCAGCAGACTTTTTTTCATGGGGGTTGAAGGTGGGAGACATTGAGGAGCCGCGAATGGCGATAAGGCTGACATAACGATCAGATACAGTTAGGCTTATCAGTCCTACGGTGAAACATTTCTTTGCGAGACCAAAGAGAAAATTTGGAGTTGCCATATCTATGGTGCCTGATTCAGATATGAAAAAAAAAAAAATTCTAAGCAAAAAATGCAAGTTATTACAAGAAAGTACACTAGACACGCCTCTATGATGTGGGGCGTCGAAAAACGCAGAGGTGGCGGCAGCACTTTGGGCCTCAAAGTGCTAGTCCTGTGATTGTAGGGGCCCAAAGAGAAGTCCATAAATTAGTTCCCCCCCCCAACAAAAAAAAAAACTTAAATGCAGCGGTGCATCGTGCAACGTATTGCTATTAACATTAAAACAACAACCAAATATATTATACAAAAGATTTATATTATAAAATAACAAAACCAACAATATTTTAAACAATTAGTTAAACACTATTCGCCTTACCGTTTTAGAAGCAAAAACATTAATCAAATTCGAGTAATTTAGCTGTTCAACCAATTCTTTCTTTATTGATAACATAGTCAATCCATTCTGCCCTTTGCAATCTAAATAAATTAGAGTTTCCAAAATATATACTACGTGCGCCTGTGCAATTGATCTTACAATAACCAATTATATAAATCGACCAAGCCACAATTATATAAGCCAATAAGGCTTCAAATATTTCCAATATATTCACTAACAAGTTAGGGCAAGCCATTGCTTACCTAAGAAGTAGAATTTCAACGAAAATTATGGAATCACACCCTTGAGAATTTCATTTTCACAACTCACAAGCCTGAAATAAGTAACGGATGCATTTAACTAACATAGTTATTAGATTTGAAGGACATTGCAAAAAAAAAAAAACTCTAATGTCTCTTTTTCCTAGTGTTAATCAAGATTTTTGGTCAAAGGAAAAACGTCGGGCGAATTAGTCTTTATACCATATCTTCTAAGCTATTTAGCAACATTTCAATTTTCTTTCATTTGTTTTCACTAGTTGAAGGTCTTTTCTAAAATTGAATGTCTCCATATAAGCGGATAAATTGCTCTTATATTATGCAGTCTTCTTCAACATATACACTAGAATACTTGTATAATCTCTTTATTAACAATAAAGTTTTCAGCATCCTCCATCTGTCAACTATCTTGAATATTATAAAACTTTAAATTGATGTTTAGAGGGTGTTTGGTAGGAATTTTTATGTGAAAATGCATCTTTGAATAGTAAATTGATGGGAAATGTGTGGTTGAAAAATAAGAAAAAGTTTTTGATTTACGTGTAATATTATTTTAATAAAGAATGTGTGGTTGAAAAGAAGAGAGAAAAATGCATTTTGATAAAAATGGGTGCCAAACAGGGCCTTATCATATTCCAGTCCCTAGAAAGATCTTAATTTCCTATTCTTCAACTCCATATGATCAGATTTATGTCCTCTATTATAGAAAATCACTGACCACGGTAGTCCTGCAGCAATATAGAGGCTTAAGTCAGGAAAATCTAAGTTTTTAATTTGGTTATGGAGTACAAGGGTCATATATCTCCTTTAAGATGAGATATACATAATGGTAACATATGCATAATCATACTCCATAACCAGTCTTAGACAAATGAGTGGGTGTTTTTTGGGAGGTCAAGGAGGGAAAGAGAGACTGCACAATGCTTTTAGTCTCTTCGCTCAGTAAGTTATGACATGTTAAATCTACTTAGAAAAAAATCACAAGACAGATACAGAGCAGTATGCAAGATAGCTGTAAACTAAACCTCTCATAGTTAGTTGCTTCAGATTCTGCTCGTGCGACAATTTGCCTGCCATCTGCATCTAATCCTGCAACAGCCTGCTGCCTGCAAATAGAAGAACATCAGCAAGGACACAAATATACTTCAATTAGACAGTAATAGAATAAAATAGATGATTGCCACTGTATATTGATGAAAAAGCAAATCAAATTCTTTTTATATTCTCTTCTAATGATTTATTTCTTCAAGATTTTGTTTTTACTATTATTCCATAATTTTAATCATTTATAAATGAAAATTTCTAGGAATCGTATCCTGCCTCCAACCAGCTGTGTTAATCAAACCCTAATTCTCAAAAATTATCGAACAAGATAAGATGAGAAAAAAAAGTGAATTTGTACCTACGAAACAGCGGGTTTAAATTGTGGGAGTGGGACAAATCATAGGGGAGAGACCGCCGACCGAGTGTCACGTGTGGTTGATGAGCTTGGAACCGCAGCCTGCGGAGGGTGCTGTGGCGGAGAATTCTGGTGGCCCCACGGTCTCCACCACCGGCTGACGGGCTGAGGATGAGAAGAACGAACCGGAGAAGAAGAAGGAGAAAGCGCCAGCCACAAAACGAAAAGACGGAAGATGAGAAAAAACGCACACTGATTTCCATTTACTTCAATTTAAAATAATAACAATAATAATTGGGCCGAAAATAGGCCCACTCCGGTTTTGGGCCTGAAGGGCGGCCTCGCCACAGGACCGGGAATTGGGTTTGGTGGAGGTCGGCAAAGGCAGTTGGTATTTTGGGGCGGGGGCTTTCTTCCTGAATCCTTTAATTCTTTTTCTTTTCGGTTTTTTTATTTTTTCCTGTTTTGTGTGTTCTGTTTCAAAATGTTGGAGGACCATTTTGCACCATTTTGAAAACTAGGAACCAAATTATAATTATATCAATAAATTGGGGATTAAGCCCCTGTTTGATCCCCATTACCTGAAAATGAAAATAGGGAGAATAGTATTTTTTAGAAAAATGAGTGATTGAAAAAGAAGGAAAAATTTTCGATTTACGTGTAATATTATTTCATGGAAGAGAATTTGTAGAAAATTTCATTCTTGCTAGCACAGGAAGGAGAAAACCTTGATTCCCTACAATCTTGTTCTATGTGTGATATTCTATTGGAGGCTGGACAATTGGACAACGGCGAATGGCAGATCAAGGTTGAAAAAAAAAAAAAAAAAAAAAAAAGGCAAAAGAGTTTGCAGGTTTAAAAAAAAATTATAACTTTTATCACAATTTCTATCTAAACACAAAGCAGATCCTTGATGGAAATTGAAATCTATTTTTATTTCCGTTGTGCCTGATATGTAAATTCCCAACACAATGAAGTTCAGTTCACTTCATGCATGCTTAACAGCGATAGTCAAGTACATACAATTGAGAGACTTGTAGTTCCAGCTGACCATAAAATTGCTGATAAATTCACCTAACATATTTTCTGCAAATGCTATTTAATATTACAATTCATTTGCAGCTCGATGAAGCTTGAAAGAAAGGTGGAGAGGAGATAGATAGCAAATTGTATCCAGCTCATTCCGAGATCAACTCGCAAAGGAGATGCTGCCTCTAATCACCTTGGAGAAATTTGAATTCCAAAAAGTACATTCGACCGTGTGCATAAGAAAACAGTTTCTGCATTACAAGTCACCGTTTAGACTGTTAGATGTTTCTTCGATTGAAATTTCCTTGGGCACCTTAAGATTTATTTGGTTTGTGTCCCATCCGGCCTCTTCCAGTTGTTGCAAGAAGTTGTCAAACCCAGCCTTTAATTCAATCAAGCTTCGTTCAAGTTGCTCAAACAAGTCATCTGACCTACTCCAGTTTTGGTCGAGCCAGTAGGTTTGCCACATGCTTCGCAGAACTGATAGACTTGTAGCTCCCTCCTGCAGCAGGAAATCGAGTTATGTACACTATTTTCACTTTCATCAAATATTCATAGACACTTCAATTGAGTACCTTGAAGGATACGAAGACCTCAAATTTTGTTTGCAGTTGATTCACCACAAGAAAATATTTCTCTTCCACGTATAATTTGAGAAGCATCCTCGCCTAAACAAATTAAACAAAAAAAATGCTATGGCTTCAACCTTTCATAAATGCATTTGAAATCCATTAGTTTCTTGGGCACTTGTTTGATAAGGCTATGTTTGGACACTAATAATTAAAACTTATTTTTATTACTTAATTCAATACTGTACAAATGCACCTTACCAGACATACCACAAATGTAACCAAATTATTTGATAATTACAGTAAGTTCATGATAAATGCAATAACTTTGAGACAATAAAGAAACTACATTGATGCATATGGCAATGAAGCAAAACACTCTATTGGAATAAGTTCTGAAACAAACAAAGCCTACCCACCTTTCTGCCTTGAGAATTACTTTCAGATTTTCTAGTGAACATGCCTAGCAGGAAATATAATTTATTGCCAAATGGTGTACAATAGTTGATTGGCGATCAGCATAAAATAAAAAATGTAATACATAACACAGTGTAGCAATACCGTAGAGCCACGTCTCTTGCCAATAACCATCTCTTCCAAGGACACCCCAAAAATGATTCTTGGTCGACAAAATCTTTCCCATATTAATATATTTTCCATCTGGTTGCAATCGTCAATTCCTATTTTAAAAAATAGATAAGTAATCGAGTATTTTCATTCTTCCAGAAAATGTTTTGCTAAAGTAGGTGAGATTGAGATACAAGCATTGACTTACCTGGAACTTTAGCATACAAAATATGTGAGTTCAGCAGTATACGAGCTCGCTTGAGATTTATCTGTAAGCAAAAGAATAAGTGAGGACAAAAGAAACAGATTGGCAGCGCAAAATCAAATAGCTATTTTATCCTTCCCAAGTTTATCATCACCACCGACTATGTCGTCTCCTGTGTAAATGAAACTTCTCTTGAGAAAAAAAAATTTGAGAGTCACTACCATCCCCCTTCCCAGAAAGTAAAATTCATATTTTACCGTATTGAACCGCAAAACTGAGAGGGACTTGTAGCGGAGCCAAATGTGTAGAAGTCGCACGCTCAACCATGTTGATCCCAACACAGGATATGACAATGAAATACCAGGTGTATCCTAAATTTTGTTTCTGATTAAGCTAAAAGGAATAATTGATGATGTATTGAGATTTGTATCCAGATAATACTGAGATAATATATAAAATTCACGTAACACACCAGGGCTAGTATTCCCAGAGCAAGGCCAATCAGCTCGGCAGCTACTTCCCAAACCTCCTCCTAGCAATTTTGACCACAAAATTCAGAAGATTATAATAATAAATATAATAGTGCTAGAAACAATTTAGGAGAAGCATGGCCTGATATTATGTTGAACTATAAGAATTGGTTTTATTATGTTTCTTATAATCGATAAGCAAAGTTTAAAAAAAAAAAAAAAAAAAGACTACCACAACATAAATGACTAAAAGTTGCTGATAAATATTGTGCATGCACATGAATAACAACAGCACTACGAGATAATCTTGTTTGCAAGGTGCTTGCAGTGTCCTGTAAACTTATGCAAAATACACCACGTAAGATGGCATGCAGCTTACGCTTTTGGTTAAAGCATAACATGTATAAAACCTACTAGTGAAATTAGACAGACTAAGAACCCGTGACTGTATATGTTTACTACAAATTTCAAGTAATGATGCACGTCATATGTGAGCAAGAGCAGGGAGAAATCCAAGGGAATACCTTTGCTGCTACCTCTCCCAGATTTCCAGAGATTGCAAAATGGTTCTGTATAACCCGGAATGAAGGATCTCTCAGACCCCTCCCCACCGCCTGCAAAAATAAATGGTTTCCATTGGATGTTATCCATCAACATCTACTTCAACATCCTTTAAATATTCTTGCAAAAATTTAATTACAATAAGCAATCTGATAGAGCGAAGAAGGTCAAACTAAGGCTCTTTGATCTAAGCTCATTGTGATAACCATTTGAAAGCATGTTTCAAAGAAGGTTTTCAGAAAGCGTCCTTAGTAATCTATGACGTGAGTCCATGCATTTGGATGAAAATGCGCTAGTGTACTCCATGTCAGAAATATTTCAGTAAGCTTTTGACCGAAAACAATGAAAACATCAAATATATGACTTCTGTATTTGGCAGTATTCATTTCGCTGTTTTCATAAAATACTTTTGAACATGGTGAAACAGAGGGACCTCTGTTTGCACCGTGGGGCCCCCTTTATCTGAATACAGTAGACGGATCTAAAAATGCTCCAAAACCAGCTAATTTTTTGAAACATAATGCAATGGAATTTTTACCTTGGCAAGATTACCAAGTGACGCCAATGGCAGGAAATAGGAAGGATATAATTGGGTACTTAGATCAAAAATGCTGCAAGAAAAGATGAATTTCCATTATAAGGTGCACTGACAACACAGTGAACACACATGCACCTCCAAAGAAGTAAATTCCAAGTACCTTCCTGCACTCCCAATGAAATCTGCGTACAAGCGCCATTGCCTAGGGTCATCATCGAAAAGATCGCCAAATCTTCCACCTGAAAGAAGCAAGTAAGCCATTATTACACGAATTAATCTCAGTGGTTTCCCTTTCTTTCATTTAATTGGAATAGCCAGACCAATGAATAAGCGTCCAATAGCACCAATGCCATCCTTTGACACCCAACTACAGAAAAATCAGATAATCCATATTAATCCACTAAACACCAGCTTTTGAACAGACTGAAAATGAGAAACTCAGATTCTTTCATAGGCATAAATGCTAAACTCAAAAAGCAAAACAAATTAGGATCCAATTATGGACAAAAAGCCTTACTTCTTCAGAATAATTGAAGTTTGAAGACAACACTTCATAGAAGACGCCACTAAGTAATAATGATAAAATTTACCTAATGGCAGCAGCAGAAGCTGCAGCAGTAGTTCCTGAGAATGAGCCTACTCCAACAGCCTACATTGGAACATAAAACTTAGTATGACTCTGTGAGCATTAAGGTGCATCGGTTCAGCATGAGTAAGCTATAAATGATATCATCAAGGTAAGATTTATATAACCTTACGTTCTGATTGTTGACCAAGGAGGAAAAGGGAAAAAAATGATGGGCAACTCACAACTGCCAAAGGCAGCGTGAGTGAAATATCAATGTTATTGTTCATAAGAAGGAAAAATCCTAGAACCTAATTGGACTACCAGCATGTGATGGGGATACTGATAAGGATATCAGACGACGTTTCCTTATTTTATTTAAGCTTTATTTATTTTCTTGGACTATTATTTAAATTTGGACTTGTATGGGCTCGGGCCCAAACTCGTTAGGATTGCTTTACTATTTAAACCTATTTTGCATTGTAATTTTCAGTTGATGATCAATGAATAATTATTTTGGTGGCTTATGACGCATCCCTCCCCTTTTTCTATCCTCTTCTGTTAAATTCTTCTCCCCTTTAATTCCCCATTCTTCTCTTTAATTCCCTCTCCCTATAGATCTGTTCTATTTCTCAATTAATTGTCCCGTTGGTGCTGCATCAAATTTGGTATCAGAGCCTAAACTTGGGTAATCTCTCATCTCCAATTCAAAAATCTCTTCCTATTTCTTTCCTAAGAACTTGTGGAACAGCACAAACAAATAGACTTTTAGCATAAGCAGCCAAGTTATTATTTTTCCAGCTTCTTCATAGTTGTTCCCAAAAAAAAGAAAAAAAAATTCGTGTTACTGTTCACGGGTACTATTCACATTCGAAAATTCATTTTTTCTGTATTATCAGCTTAAAAAAAAAAAGTTACTGTTCACACCAAAAAAAAAAAATCTCATTTTTTCCCTGCTGCTGCTGCTCCTAAATAAAAAAAATAATTGTGGTGTTGTTCCACAAATCTCAAACCCTAGCATTCAAGCCTACTTAGCCCTTCAGCCCATATATTCCATCTCTATAACCTACTTCATTCATTTTTTTATCAAAACACTTGGGCCATAAGCTAGTAGCCCAAATTACTTCCAAAGCTCACGAAACGCACAACCCATCTCTCATCATCTATTTAGCCAATCCACTTGCTTTTCAGCCCAATAAACACTAAATCCAACCCACTTATCACATATTATCACAATCGGCTCAACACCATTCAACCCATAATCAGTCCCAAATATCCAACCAAGCCCGATTATAACCAATCCATTAACATCAAATACCCTACAGTTTCACCCGATTTCTCTCTCACAACCACTATCTTGCCGTTGTCGCCTCTAATCACCATCACGCCACCACTTCATTATCTATTGTACCCAGGCATCCAGAGCACTACCGCTTCATCGCTATAAGCCGCCACCACCACCAACCCAAGATCATACACTTCCAACACAATTACCACACTCATATATTTCCTCGTCCATCTCAACAATCTAAAAGCCACAGTCACTACACACAGTTTTATGTCCACACCAAAACCAGCACAAGTTACAGTCTACAGGGGCTAGAACCATTGGATACGAAGGGAAGAACAGAAGCATAGTTGGGGCTCATAAGTCGACAATTCAGATCAATCGGCATACAAATAATCAAAACTAAACATCAGGGAGTCCTTGATCTCTATTTAGTATTGGTTTATACTACTACTTCATTTTTAAAATTGCATCAATTAAAATCTTGTGCTGCTGTTATCGTGATAATTTTAGTCTTAAACCCCACTTGATCGAAACCATTAATCGAATTGACACCAGTGACCGAATTGACTTTCATTGTTCCCCACTTAAATTGATTGGAGAATTTAACTACTGTGTTTGACCCTTGCTTTGCCATTTTACATGTACCAGCAGTATTAGCTTGTTTTAGATTTAATTAATCCCAATATTTAAAATTAAATAAAAAAAATTGGTACAAGTTATTTTCCATTACTTGCACGTATTGTTCACTGATCTCATCATAGCACATCATTTAACTGGTATTACATTAGATGTAGTTGCGTAGTGGTCGTCTTGTCGTCTCTATTTCCAATACATTGACCATAGATCCATCCCAATTTGATGCACTCACTAGACAATTAGCGCAACTTTCCACTAGTCTATCGACTGTCCAATCAGATATAACTGCTACTCGTGAGGAAAGAAAGACCCTAGCTACTAAGTTGAGCAATTTTAAGCGAACCCCTGGTTTGACTGACACTAATTCTGAAGCGTCTCATAATAGACAATATCATCGTGGACAAAGTGATCAAGAATATTTTCGACGCGATCGTAGGACTAGGGATCAGGTTCGTGAGCGAGAACAAGGCCATGATCATCATGGTACTCATTCTCTTCCTCGTCGTAAGGAGCGTTTCTTTAGAGATATTGACTTAGATATTCCTACTTTCGATGGTTGCTTAGATCATGAAATTTTTACCCAATGAAACACCCTTACACAAGAGAATCGGCTAGTAACTGAGTACATTGCTCAATTTGAGGAATTTCGAGTGAAATGTCATGTCGTTGAGGTTGTGGCCCTGACTTTAAGTAGGTTTATACAAGGTCTACGAAATGAACTTAGGCGTGAGCTTTTCTTTCGAGGCATCACTACTCTTGATCAAGCTTACTCTTTAGCTCGGGACTACGAGTTACTTATCAGTACTGCATATGAAAAGCGTAATCACCATCGTTCACCCATCTCATTAGCGTCATCTCATCATAAGTCTATTATAGAGCCTTCCCAGTCTAGTGTTCCTTCCCTTTGGAAAAACAAGTGTAAAGGTCGTGATAGCCCAAGGTCGTCTTCTTCATGTAGAAAGCGTAATGACAATCATCTTTCGGTTTCATTGGCTCCACTTCCTCCTATTAAGTCCCTTCTAGGACCTCCCCCGTCTAATGTGGCTCCACTTCCTCCTGTTAAGTCCCTTCTAGGACCTCTGCTATCTAATGTTCCTCCAATTTTGGAAAATAAGGGTATAATTTGTGAAACTCCAAAGACTTCTCACTTGCTATGCATCAGCTGTAAGGACTTTGGCCACATCTCTTCCAAATGTCCTAATCGAGCCTCAGTCATAGAAGAATGAAAGAATGCAATAGAAGAGTCGTTAGAAGATCTAGCATATGACCCTAAACTTGAAGATTTTGATGATTATAGTGAGGACACTTCCTTAAGTGGAATCCCGACCCTTCTCGAGACTTTAGAAACTGTACCCCTTGTTTCCGACAACTCTCGATCACATGTTATATGTCATACCCTTACCCAACTCAAAGAGTTTGATGATTTCACTAGTCACCCTTGGAGAATCCAGTCGCTTGTTTCTAGCACTAAATCGAAATTATCCACTACTGACCAACCTCAAACTGATGGTCAAAACGAAATTGCTAACCGAAGTCTTGCCAATTTATTACAATCTCTAGTCCAGAAAAATCTTGAGAATTGGGACTCGATCCCCCCAACTGTTCACATCGCATTTAACAATTCTATGAATCGGTCTCTAGGTCTAAATCCATTTGAAATTGTTCATAGTTATAAGTCTAGGCGACCGTTAGATCTTATTCCCATGTCCCCGCATGCTAGTGTGTCGTTGTCAGCTGAAGCATTTGTATATCATCTTCATGACTTGCATATTGAGATCAATAAACAACATGACGCAAGTAATGCATTATATGAACTTCAAGCTGATTCGCATAAACGATATTTTGAATTTAATATTGGGGATTATGTCATATTGCAAACTTGTAGTGCTAGTCCTTTAAAAATTTTAAAGCATGTTGGTTCAAATGCACATGTCATTGCCCTTTCATCACATTTTAACTACCACTCTACTTTAAATATTGAGGACTTCATTACTTACAAACACTGTATTACTTCCTTTGATGATCCATTTCTACCTAACTTTGTGGACCCCCAATTTGATTATATTGATATTTCTACTTTAATACCATCTATCACAGCACACAAAGATAAAATTGATGTTATTTTAGATGAACGTGTTGTATTAACCAATGATGGCAAAATTCAGTACTTCTTTTTTTGTTGGGTAGATCGACGTACTTCTTATGCTCCTCATTATGTACAATCATGTGAAAATTTTGAAGATGAGGTGCATGAGTATTGGTTATTTGAAATCCAGTATCAGTACTTGGTTAGAAGGAAAGATCGCCCCCTTTGGTCAGATCATATTCTTGGGAATAAGCTACAGTTTTCAGTACTATCAATCATGGAATTTCGTTACTTGGTTCGTCAGAAAGATCGTCCCCCGTGGCTTGACTTGACGCATTTGGAGTATCAGATTGACTGCAGCCTATACTATCCATCAACTCGACAGGGTTGAGTTTTTCTCCCACCCCGAGAGAGTTGGTGAGGACATCGGACGACGTTTATTTATTTTATTTAAACTTTATTTATTTTCTTGGACTATTATTTAAATTTGGACTTGTATGGGCTCGGGCCCAAGCTCGTTAGGATTGCTTTACTATTTAAACCTATTTTGCATTGTAATTTTCAGTTGATAATCAATAAATAATTATTTTGGTGGCTTATGGCGCATCCCTCCCCTTTTTCTATCATCTTCTGTTAAATTCTTCTTCTTCCCCCCTTTAATTCCCCATTCTTCTCTTTAATTCCCTCTCCCTATAGATCTGTTCTATTTCTCAATTAATTGTCCCGTTGGTGCTGCATCAGATATAGGTTATAGTTCTATTTGAAGAATCGTTGCAATGCGCAAGCCTCAAATGCATTAAGAATGCAAACTAATGGGTTTTTATGGAGGGGTCAAAAGGCGTAATAAAAGCAAGTACTAGTAACAATAACAAAGATTTACAAGAACAAACACTGAATATCTTTACGATTGAAGACGCAGAAGTCTCGAAATGTTTGCCAATGCTATTAATTGACATACCCGAGCAAAATTAACGGCTTGGGTTAGATTCACATGCCTTTAAGAGACTGGAAGTGACCAATGTATGACAGATCCACCCAGTGACGTTGGTGGGGAACTGTAGCAATATGTAATCCAAGTAATCATCAGAAACTGATTCTGCAGCAGAAGCAAAAAACAATTGGAAAGTGTTTATCAACTAAAAGTTCTTCTAGTCATATGTAATAATTATATGGATGCGGCACAAGATGTAAATTTTTATTTTTTTCCTAAAATAAAATGAAACTCCTAAAGCTCAGTTAGATAGGCAACCTGGGAATCCTGAAGGTAGGACAAAATCTTTAATAATTTTAGGAAGCCAAAACAATTCATCATGAGATTCTGGGGTATTTGAATCTTCTGATACATTGGTTCCAGGCAAATGCTCCTTGAGAATTGTCCTAATGACTGAATCATTTTCTACAATGTACCTATATCAGTGCATCCAATGCAAATCGGCACATTTAATGCAAGTCCACAATTAGCAAAAAAACCATCAAAACCATGCCTCATTTCCAGGAAAGAAACTCATACTTTGGTAAAGAAACAAGAAGAAAGGAAAAACAGATCTATAAAGTTTACTTATAAGTAATAAGCTTTTAAAACAAGTCAATTCTTGTAGGTAATAAGTTCCCAATTAGTATATACCTCTTGGAAGTGCCATTGCCGTATTTCTCCACCAAAACCTGGTGCCCATTACCTTCCTCACTGCAATCAAGAAGACCCAAAAGTAAAAACTGCAAAATATGTACAACTCGAAACTGTACAGTGAAAACATAAACAGTTTCAAACAACTGTATATAGATGTATTAATACTCAATATTTTGGGAGTTTGCTTCAAGTTCTGCTTCTTGGGAATGGGATTTCAAGGGTTTGCAGAAGACTTGCAACCGCTGAAATCTCGGATGAGTTGACTTTTGCCGGGAGTCAAATCTGAAGCTCGGGGAGGAGAGTGGCAAAGCGCTGGACATTTTTCCCTCTTTTTTCGTTGATAATGATAATTTTGGATATAATTGGCTGTGTTCAAGCTTAATAAATTCAATTGTTACATAAATAAGTATTTTTCTAAAATAGAATAAAATATTTCCAGATGGGAGACTAATGTCATTTATGGTTCGTTTTTCAATTTTTTCATTTATCAATTAAAAAATCAAAAGGTGGGATTGGTTCCCCTTTTATAAGAATCTGAAATAAACAATTAAAAAATTAAACATATCTTTAATCGTAAAAAAAATTAACTAATCATTCCGCTTTAAAAACTCTATTGAACCGATTTTGAATCTGTTGATATTTATTTATCTTCTTTTTTTAAAAAAATTGATGTAATTAGTTATTCTACGTGACAAAGTTATGAATTTTTAGTAACGTAGAATTATGTCAAAACCTTATAGAATATGTAGAATTCTATTCAAATCCTATAGTCTAAGTGATGTAGGGTGAAGGATTCAATAACTAAAACAAGAAGAGATGGTAGAAAGAGAGAGAGGAAGAAGAACAGAGGCAGGGAGCAGAGAGGCAAACGGCTGAAGCCAACGTTATAATTTAATCAAAATTCATCAACTCCCAAATTACAAACCAATGATAGGTTTAAATAATGAAAACCTAGAAATATAGGGTCAAGCCCATTATTTAAGTCCTAATTAAAATACGTAAATTTAAATAAAAGTCCAACTAAAACAAAAATAAAAGTCCAACTAAAATACTGAAACAATAATAAAAGTCCAACTATAAGGATGTCCTCATCAACTCTCTCGGGGTGGGAGAAAACTCGACCCTGTCGAGTGGATATATCACCGTAAGCATCTGTCAATCTCCCAACCATAAGCTGAGTGGCTGGGCAAGCTTCTTCCTGCGTCTGTAAAAATGCGTCAGTGGCGGTCTGAATCTGGTGTCCTCACCAACTCCCCTCGGGTGGACGGGAGGCGATCTGGGCCAAGGAAGATCCTGCTGACTCCGATAAAGCTCTAGCAAATCTGGATCCAAATGCTGTAGTGTCTCTCTGGAGATCCATGCACAATCAGAATCTGGTCGACCAACCCAACGAATAAGGAAGCGCTGAACCTCTCCATCATTAGTGAACACAGTTTCTTCATCTAAAATAGCATCAATTTTATCTGTGTGTGCTGTGAGAGGTGGTAGTGGGTTAGAGGGGGCCAAAGAATTAGGATCAAGGTCCACAAAAGGAGGTAACAGAGGATCATCTGAGGGAATGAAATGGCCTTTATAAGCTACAAGGTCTTCAACATTGAAAGTATGGTGGTACCCAATGTGGGATGGAATGTCGACAATATATGCATTTGGACCAACTTGCTTTAAAATTTTAAAAGGACCAGCACTACGAGCTTGCAATTTGGAGGCCGGTCTATGTAGACGCCGCTCTGGCCTAATGCGAACCATAACGTAATCCCCAACATTAAACTCAATTTGTCGTTTATGTAAATCAGCTTGTAGTTTATAATTTGCATTACTAGCTTCAAGTTGTTTATTGATCTCAATGTGCAAATCACGAAGGTGTTGTGCAAATGCTTCGGCTGATACTGACACTCTAGCCTGTGGGGACATAGGGATGAGATCTAATGGTTTCTTAGGCTTGTATCCGTGAACGGCTTCAAATGGACTCATACTTAAAGAACGATTTACGGAGCTATTATACGCAATTTGAGCGACAGGAAGGATTAAATCCCAATTCCGAAGGTTCTCCCGGACCAGACAACGTAATAAGTTACCCAGACTCCGATTAACAACTTCGGTCTGACCGTCAGTTTGAGGGTGGTAGGCTGTAGAAAATTTTAATTTGGTACCCATCTTATGCCACAAGTCCTCCAAAAATGGCTAGTGAAGCGAACGTCCCTATCGGACACGATGGTCTTGGGAAGCCCATACAGTTTGACAATCTCATTAAAGAATAACATGGCAACCTTGGACGCATCCGATGTTTTGCTACAGGGGATAAAGTGAGCCATTTTCGAGAAACGATCGACAACCACGAAAATAGAATCATGCTTCTTTGGGGTGCGTGGCAGTCCTAGCACAAAATCCATACTAACGTCTTGCCAAGGACAATTGGGGACGGGGAGAGGAGTGTATAGGCCTGTGTTCTGCTTCTTCTGTTTGGCCAATTGACAAGTGTTACATGTACTAACAATTTTAGCCACATCTCTCTTTAAACTAGGCCAATAGAATTGGCGTTCAACCTCCTCAATGGTCTTATCACGCCCAAAGTGACCGGCTAACCCTCCCGCGTGAACTTCCCACACTATAAAATCTCGAACGGAAGTTCGAGGGATGCACAATTTATTGGCTCGGAAGAGATAACCCTTCTCAAGTCGAAAGTCACCTGTGCTGTTTGATTGTCCTCCTTGTAAATCGAGAAAGATATCCTTAAAATCTGGGCATGCCTCGTAATCCTCCTTAAGCCTTTCAAAACCAACGACTTTGACACTTATGATCGACAAAAGGGAGACACGACGACTTAACGCGTCAGCTACTTGGTTCTCCACGCCCTTCTTGTGTTTTAAAACAAATGAATAGGCCTGCAAATATTCAACCCAACGTCCATGCCTAGAACTTAACCTCTTCTGAGAGTTGAGGTAACGGAGGGCTTCGTGGTCCGAATAAA